GAAGTTTGTGATGTTTAATTTTATGATGAAAAATAATCGTTTTTTTTCTAATTTTTTTCAATCATTTTGGCCGTAACGCTCGTATATTAAAAAAAAAAAATCCGTGTCGCAGTATCTCTCTTAAAAAATAAAAGCATTTTTCACAGTACAGTATTTTTTATAGTTTTTCGATTAAATACAAAAAAAAAAAATAATATACGATCTAACAAAAGCCATGTAAGTCCAAATTTCTAACTTTGTACAGCAATTAGACAATTACACTCGGGGGTTTGCCATTGCCTGCGGATGAGCGACTGCTATTAGAAAAAAACTTTTTTTTCTGATGTTGGGTTGAACCGGCTTGAACCCAGGACCTGTGGAATGGTAGTGCGCCCTACTGCTAACCACTACACCACAGCGGCCACCAGATCGGAAATATAGAAATCCAATTTTAATGGTTAAATTATGGTTTTTATTAAAAATATCATAGCCGTTGCGGTGTTTGCCCTCCGAGCAAAGCTCGGTCACTCAGGTATTAAAAATTGACAAAACAATAAATTTCCAAAACAACAATAGCGTAATTCATGAAAATATGGTTCATTCTATAATAGGTTTGTTCCACAAGCTACTTGTAGAAAAACTCGAGCAAAGTTCAAACTGTCAGTGTATATCAAATAAACTCTAAAACTTACGTGTGGAACGCATATGTGTAACTCGAAGTGACTTTGAGTAGCTTGTGGAACAAACCTAATGTACCCCATATTGATCAAAGTTTCCCACTTTATATAAAGTTCAAAAAAATTCAAAACATTAGTCATTTTTTTTATTCAAAATTTCTAGAAAATTTTTGAGTATGTAGTTTTTTATAGGCCATACAATTTCACTCTAATGAAGTGCAAGTTTCAAAAGGCTAAAAACCGTGTTGGTCTTTGAGCATTTTTTTTAGACTGCCTTTGCAATTTACAAAAACTGGCGTTGAATTTTTTAAATTTTGTTGGGGATTTGCTAAAATTTATGGGCTATAAAACTGCTTACTCAAAACTTTTCTAGAAATTCTGCATAAAAAGTTTAAAATTTTGATGAAAATTTTAGCATTTTTTTAACTTTATATAAAGTGTGAAATTTTGATCTATGTGGTTTATATTATAGAATGAACTATTTTTTCTTAAATAATTGATGCAAAAAATTTTTCATAAAAATAATTGTGATTATTATATTTGAACAAGGTGTGCACTTTCATTTGTCGCCTAGTGTATATTATGTCGAATTTACCTTTAGACAATCAAATGAAAAAAAAATGTTATAACTACCACTGAGAACGATGCATGTGGAAACAGACTTATTAGACTATTATTTTTAACCGACTTCCAAAAAAGAAGGAGGTTATCAGATCGCCGGAATATATATACATATCAATTTTTTATATCGATAATTCTTTTTGCATCGGAAAGGCAGTGTCTCAAAGGTGGTCATACTAATCTGGTTTAGATCCGAATCATTGGATCATGAAAAAATTAACGGCACTCCTAAATTTGTATATGAGAATTGAAGTCAGTTTTGTTTTTGCTTAAAAATTACTTGTTAACTATTGAATTCGGACTTTTTTAATAACCAAGTTTCGATATCGATAATTTTTATAAATGGGTAAATTTTACTTTATTATTGCAATGGGCCCGGATTACATGTTTGCAAATCTTCTCACAATTTTTTGTAATGGGCGAATCTAGCCGCTTGTTAGTGGGTGTTATCTAATGTTCGACAGTTGAATTTGAGATTGCTTTATTGTAAATGACCCCACAAAGAGCGTGTTTACATTGGTTTAACCAATTTTTTGTTTGTTTTTATTTTGCTCAGCATTGTGTGTACATTCGAACTTCGAAGAAGCTGTTTTACAATTTTTTGGGAGCTCAACTCCGCCATTTAATATAAAAATTAATTATGAAATGACGCAGGGAATACGCGGGATAAATCTTTTCACAATTCTCATTAAAGAATATTAAGAGTTTACCAATTATTTCTATGCATTTTTTTTTGCCAATGCAAACATTTATTTATATACGTGTAGTTAAGGCGGACATCGGGACTAATAGTTCTTGGAAAAAATTTGTTTGGGCTGAGAATGTTGTATTCTCTACATCGTAATACAAAAACCCAAATCCCAAGTCTAGGGTAATTATACGGTCAAAAATATTTCACTAGGGCTGTTCAAAATGTTGTGGAAATGGTCTTGAATTTGCAGTTGGCGATGCATTTGCAAATTTCATGCTTGCTGCCATTGCGAAATGTGTGCACTTGTGAATTGGCAAATGCATCCAATATGCAAATGCAAGAGCATATGCACAAGATCCTGAACAGCCCTAGTGATTTCGAGAAACAAATTATGTACATCAAAATATTGATTGAATTATTGCTGGTAAATATGTATGCATATTATGGTCACTTTTGAGGTGCATGTGTGATTTGATACCTACAATATCTAAAAAATGTGCACAGTTTGAAATGATGGTTAATCAGTTGGTTACCACGTACCTACGAGTATCAGAGTTCTACTGCTAGTATAGTTCAGCATTAATAAACATACATACAATCAAACCAGTCAGGCCTACACTACGCAAAAAAAAACCGTGCACACCCTCATTCCGCGCCAGTTGAAGTCTTAATGAGTGGGGCTCGTGGAGGCGGTAAGCTTTTATTCTTTTACAGATCACGATGGGAGCTATCGAAATATGAACATACATATACATATATGCTTATTCTGCCTATTGCACTAAAAATAAAATATTTACGTCATTTTGAGGAAATATTAACATAACTTTAAAATGTGTACCAAAGAAAAATTCTTTTATTTGAGACCATCTGCGAATTGAACAATCATCAGACGAGGGTCTATAGGTTTGCTAACATAGGTAAATATAAATTAAGTAAATGTACATATATTCAATGACATCGAATAAATAGCATTTGAATTCGACTTACCTAGCAAACGGCTCTTCTCGATTATATTGGATATGCAATTGGTAAACTTTCAAGAG